TTTTGTCATGATGTGGTAAAGCAAGGGACACCTATTTCTACCTTTTCCTCCCTTTCCCCACCCCAACTAAGTTTTCAGTGCCATCTTATGGAAGAGGAAAAACAAACTGGAAAGAAAAATTAAAACAAATTATACTTACTACAAAGAGCACACACAGATACAAGCACAGCAAAAAGACAAGTGTTGTTCTAGTTGATATGGGATGTTTTTTGGAAAATTTTATATAGATTGTTCTTCATCTCAGATTACATGAAATTACTAAACTTGGTTTTAAAAGAATTTTAATTATTATTTACAGAAAACTATTTTTCAAAACCACATGCCACATTTACAGTGCTTGTGAGAATAAACACTGAGTAGGTAACTGAAAAACTGAGAAGCAACTTCAAGGGCAGTTCTGAAAAATTACTAATACTTTTTAAATGAATAGGTTGATACTTTTAAGTGAATATAATTATGTTATATGACAAGCCTGTGGGAATGGAACTTAACATTTATGTTGTTAGTCCACATTCTTGAAGGATAAGGAGAACAAGGAAAGGGTTTGAATTGTGTCAGAACTATATATATATATATATTTATTTGTATATATGTATAACATATATATGTGTGCATGGACTGAAACCAGAAGCTGCCTTCCTAAAGATTACTCTGATAAAATATAAACCTAAAGTTTTTAACACTGATATTGTTTATTTGATGGACGTTAGGCATTTTGCATGTACATAGGCATTTTAAAAAGAACTGACAGAGAAGACTGCTTGGAAGAAAAAGCTAGAGAGTGCTGTAAATCTAATGAGTTTCCATCTTACATACCATCTCACACTAACATCAAAGTAAGGTGAACCAAGGTCAAAGAGTAGTTCTGTGAGTCAAAGGAGTCTTACACTGCAGTACATTTACATGCCACTGATCTGTATCCCACAGGCTACTATTAGCCCAAAACAGATCACAGGTTGCCACATTTCCATCCTGATCCACAACAAATCTTTCCATTACAAACTTAGCTGAGTAACTCCACCTGTGATTTTGCTTGTAAACCAGGACTGAAGAAACCTTCAGTGTTCACAAGTCTGACTGTAGTTTCCTGTGAAGAGCTCTGACCTTACCAAGGACAAGGACTCTATCCAGAGATGCTTTCAGACTTAGTGGAAAAGAGCTGAAGGGTAAGACTAGGCCTCAGAAACTTCACATACTAAGCCAGCGTGTAAAAGAAAAGCCAAGGAGTTCAACTTGATTTGAGTGGGAGAGCCAGCCATCTGAGAGGTGAGTCAGTGCAAGGCCTCAGGGTAAGAGATTAAAACCCAGAGAGAAGGGTACTGCCTGCAGCAAAATTAGGTAGACAGGAAATACTGCTGAGTACAGGAATTTTTTGATCTGTCATGGCAGTAAAACAGAGGAGAGAAATTGGGAATGAGCTAAAATTTGGTGTATGCAGGTAGGACAGACAACTGCGCGACTTGGACAGATGCTGGGAAGAGAACAGAGACCTCTGCTAAGTAAAGAGACTGATGAAAAAGAAGGTGAGATAGCACCGTTAAAAAAAATAAAATTATAACATCACCACTATGGAGATCTGAATTAAGATTAATTTCTTTCAGAATAATAACTACTTGGGGCAGGGTACGGAGTGGGAAGAAGCAAAGGCAAGCATTCTTCCTTCACTTCCCATCTTTGAATCTTTTCACAAATGAGGCAGTGAGTATTTATCCACTACTTTTGGAAAGATCATCCTTTTTCATGCCAAATTTGGCATTCCTATTTTTAACTGTCAAGTCTGAAAAACCTCGAAGTGACAGTTTTGGGTTCTGTTCCTGTATGAATAATGCAGGTACATGGGAGTAAGGTAACAAATCATAAACAGAGAACAAACTGTATTTTAAAAAAGGATGTATATTTATGTTTGTTGACAAAGCTAATATGATGCCAATATTACCCATGGACAATTGTTAATCCATTATAGAAGTTACTGTAACTCATCTGGATTTAACACTGGCAAGAAGAGAGTAATTTTACATCACTGAAGATACAGAGGAATGTATCTAAAAACAATTTCTTCACCCAAACAATAAAAATAGTTATAACCTAGTAGTAAGAACAAACATTCAAACCCTAGCACATAAAATTGGAAACAGCAACATCATTTCTCTGTCAAGCACACGCTAAAATCAGTAAACATTTGAGCATATTGTGTATTCACAGTACTATGTAAATAGCAGATTAAGTAGACACAATATTCTATGCAACTAACTTAATGCCCAAAATAAATACATCAAAAGAATTTCAGATCAACAGCACACTGTGTGCCGTTACGAATAATGTGCTGAAATCTGCCAAGCTATTTTTGAACACTTTCAAAGAACTTCAGTATTTGCGACAAGACTGAAGACATGTTGATGTGTTTTTATTACAGAATTTACTTTACCAATCTGGCAATGTAGTCTTCTTAAATTAGCATTAAAATATTGTATCTTTCTTAATTGAATCCACACCTCCTCTTTTCAGCAGATACACTCCACTTTTCAAAGACACAGCATTATTATCCTAAACAGCACTTAGGGGCAGGAGATGGCCAAAGATTTTGGACATGTGCATTTCCTCCACTGTCAGAGAAGCCCTTCAAGTAGCCTGTACACTTTCAGACAAAAGGTTAAGTGTTGAAAGTTGTTCTGTTTGGCCTATACTTCCATGGGTTTAGAATTAAACCAGAAAAGGTGGAAACCATGATAATAAAGGTAAGGGAGTAAATATGTATTCTAGCATGGTATTTTAAATACAGCTTCACTAATATAAGGTAGATACAACAAATTTTAGTTGTTTGCATGTTTACATCACTCTTTCAAATTTAATGTTGAGGTATACTCGGTTTACAAAACTTCCCCTAGAATCATATCAGTCACAGGGTCTTCAACAGCATTTCAAAATACGTTCTTCACTTGTAACTCTTGAAAAACACTGCAGCAAGTGGCGGCAAAGAAAGGGCTTTATGATTTCAACTGTGTATCAAAGTCTGACCTCAGGTCATTTTGGAGTGTGGGTTATTTTCAATTCACATGAAATGTTAATAGCAGAGGTTACTTTTTTTACTCTGTAGTTCAAAAAAGTAGGGTGCAAGCTGTGAAAAGCTTTTCCACTTGGCAGTCAAAGGATCTGGGGGAATCTCAACAGCTCTCAAGTTTAGTCAGAGGACCTTGAAAGAATGCCATTAATGCAGGTCTTTCTAGTGCATTTTGGTACAAGCTGTTTCCCTATGGTGCTTTATGTTGGCACACTTTGTACATCAAACATTATGTAATCTTCTGTCTAGCAGCATACCATGTTTCTTTCCTGTTTCTTTTCTAAAATAAGGATGCTTCTCTGCTTCAATCACTGTCTGAGTTACCTAGTAAATCAGTTTTGCTTACAAGGCACCAGCCTGGAAGTCTGAACTGGGGTTTAGAGCACCCCACTTCTCAAAATTTGCATCAGGAAACTAACCCTAGCTCCAGACAACAGCCCAACCTTAAAGGAAGCCTTAATGCTGGTCAATCCAAAGAAGATGCATGTGAATTCAAAACAACATACTGACCTGCAGAATTCATAAATAATACATTTCACAATTAGTTCTATTTCCTCAGCTGTACCATATCTTCAATGAAATCTGTCCATCTATAGAAGTCACCAGTGTTTCTTAACTGCAACATATCACTTAACGATTAACGCTTCTGATACATTACCACTGTCTAACTTCTACAAAGTTACCAGCTTCAAAACAAAAATATACTGACACTAACCATGCTAATCTGCACTACCAGATTTTTATTTTTAGAGGACCTAGAAAAGAGTGAAATAACTGATAAAATACATATTAAAACTAAAGTAAAAGTAACTGTATATTGCTTTGTCACCAGAAGACAGTTTTGGAGAGTAGTAATTCAGCATCTAAAAGGCAATTCAATCACTTTTCATCAGATGCCGTAAGTTTCCTCACATTCCAGGCTACAATTAATCTAAGCATACATACTATCCAATGACACAGAGTTAACAAGCACTTTGCTGCAACACTCAAGAGTTCAACTCCAAGGACAGGACTCCAATAACAATGCAGACTAACTTGCTTGTTTTCCTTCTTTTACCCTGTCGTGTATTAAAAGACAGCAGGCCTTAAATTACCCCCAAGACTCATACAGATGACTAAACCATAAATAAAGACAGTGTACTCCAGAACTAGGAGGTTGCTCTCCAGTTAGCTATGTGAAGAGTGAAACACACAGTGTGCTCAAGAGGTACTACTCTTCAAGAAACAAAACATAACTTCCTCATATCTAACATCATGGGGGGCAGGGGGTTCTTGATGAAGGTGTAACAGAAAACTGAAGTTAATCAGACTACGGTCTGGAAGAGTGTTTTAAGTCCCACTGACTACATTGAACGCACACTGTGCAGCTTTTCAACTCCCGAAATACTTGTTTCCCTATATGAAACACCCAAGACAAAGCCCCACAAACAAAACCCACAAAACTCCCATTTTACCAACCATCCCTAGTTTACTATTATTTTTAACCTGTGCTCTTTGTTTGTCGTTAGCAAGGCTGAAACTGAATACCCAACACCTTCACAGAACTTGCAATGATGTAACTAGGCCGTCCACGATCTTTCCGTCAAGAGATGGAAAGTTCGGCAGCAAGGGCTCCTTCCCCACACTGCCCATGAGGTTTCCACTGTGGAAGTTGGAGGAACCCAGCCGGCTTGAGCAAACCCCTCTCCGCCGGGCGGAAGTGGGACGGGGACCACCACCAAGCACCCTGAAGGGGACGAGGCCTGGGAGGCCCCGAGGGAACACCCTCAGGCCGGCATGCGGTGAGGGGGCCAAGCTTGGGGAAAAGCGGGCGAGGGGCCAGGGAAGGCGGCAGCCACAGAGTCCCGCGTACCCCCGGCCGGGCCCTGCAGCAGGGTGGGCACAAGGGGAGGACACCCCCCTCCCCGGGACACGACGGGCACGGCCCGGCAGGCTCCCTTACCCACAGTGGACTTGCAGGCCTCGCAGAAGGTGTCGTCGGTGAAGCGCTCCATGAGGCTGGTCTTGCCCACCCCCCGCGACCCGATGATGATCACCTGCAGCTTGAAGTCGGCCGGGCGCGGCGGCTGCTTCCTGCGGCGGGACTGCCCCCCGGAGAGAGCCGGCGACCCCGCCGCCGAGCCCGCCCCGAGGTCTAGCCCACCTCCCCCCACCCTGCGCTGCTGCAGCCCCGAGCCCGGCTCCATCAGCGACGCATGCGGCGGCGCCGCGCTGGCGCCGCGCTCCCTCGCCGCGCCCCGCGCTCCCGCCCTCCCTGCCACCGGCGCCGACACAGCGAGGCAGGGGGTGGAAGGGGGACAGGAAGGACGAGAAACGCCCGCCACCCGGCCCGACCCGAGGGGAACAGCAACACCGACACCGACAGGAACGGGAACTGCGCCGCCGCCGGGAGCGGCGCACCCAGCCCTGCGCCAGGCCGCGCAGCGCCCCCTACAGTGCGGGAGCCGCGGCCCCGCGCCGCAGTGCCGGGGGCGGGGAACGGCAGCGCTCCCGTGCCGCCCTTCCGCCGGCTTTGTGCCGGCCGCGCGTTCCCGTCGCCCTGCTTGAGCTGGCGGCTGGGTCGTGGCGGGTGTGGGCCCCGCCGCGGATGGGGAGGGCGGTCCGGCTGCCTCCCAGAGCGGGCCTTAGCCCAGCGCTGCCTCGGCCCCTCCGGTGAGGTGATCCGTGGTGGGCTCCGGCCTGGTGTACCCGGAACCGCCGCAGTTAGGCCGCGCTTAGGAGCGCCGTGAAGGCTGTCCGTGCCGGGGCGGCGGCGTTTACCCTAAATTTGCTTTCAGGTAGTCAAGACCCCAGCCCGGGTGGAGCTCCTGGGTGCCGCAGCACTCGCGGTGCTGGTGTCGGCTGGGGAGGATTTCACTGTAAAATCCAAACCCAATACATGAGCATATGGATGACATCTTTGCTCCTGGGCTTGGAGCTTTCCCTAACCACTGCCTAGTCTAGCTGTTCACATTCCAAGCAAAGGGGGGAAATGGCATTAGAGGAAGTAGTGTCATAAATCACGTGAAGGAAAATGATCAGGATGAGCCTTGCTCACTGGGATTTTTGAGGAAATTTTAAGGGTTCACAGAATCCAGATTTTTCAGCAACATCAAAGCTGGATTTCCAGAGGTAAGAAGGATTCAGTTTTAATTGAGATCTATGGGTAGATGCAGTGTTCCTGTGAACATCAGAGGTGAGAGGGGGCAAAAAGAGTGGATGTTTGCAAAAATTTGTCCCATTTTCTACATTCTCACTACCGTTTGTAAGCTAAGGAAATGCCACAACGTCAAATTGGGCTTTACACGTAGGAAACCACTGGTATACAGGAATGATTTCTCAAGAGCTAATTTTATTGAAGAAACAAACAGTTTGACAGCAAGGTTATGTTGTCAAGAACAAAACCCAACAGTCACAAACAACAAGGTAACTAGAACTAGTTTAATATTTTACTTAATGTCACTTATTTTCATCAGAAAATATCGGTGATTCTTCAAACAAGTAGAATGGTCTAAACCTAAAAAAACCAAAATCTTAGCAAACCATCCCTAACACTTATGCACTGCTGTCCCTCGATTCTCTTACTACCTAAAATGCTGTAATTAGGTATTTGAAAGGGCAATCCATCAGTGAGAGCGAAATAATCTAGCAAGTAGAAGATCATAGCAAGATAACCTTTTTGTTTTGAGTTGTTCTCTTTTCCCTTAGGTCCTTCCTCTAGAGTTCTGTTCTCCAAAATCGGGCACTTGCTATGAGCCATTTGCAACACCGATAGATCTTCAAGATCTATCAGCTCTTCCCATAAGGATCATCAAGTCTGATTCTATGCTCCTCACATGATTACCTGAAATGAAACCATATGATGGAAAGTGTCATCCAGACAATCCTTGAACTCTTGACATTTTTGGTGCCTTGGCCACTTCCCTGGGGAGCCTATTCCAGTGACCGACTGCCCTCTCAGTGAACAGCTTTTTCCTAATGTCCAGCTGAACCTCCCATGACACAGCTTCATTCCATTTCCTCATGCCCTACCACTGATCACCAGAGAGAGCTCAGCACCTCTCCCTCCCTCCGCTGCCCCTCTTGCTGAAGTTATAGACTGAGATGAGGCCACAGTGTCAGTTGAGTACAGGGCCTTCTCTCCTCCAAGCTGAACAAATCACCCCAGCTACTCAGAAGTCTTGCCCTCAAGGCCCTTCTCCATCTTAGTCACCCCTCTCCAGATATACGCTAATAGTTAGATGTCCTTATATTGAGGTGCCCAAAAATTCACACAGTACTCAAGGTAGGGCCACCCCAGTCAGTGTAGAGTGGGACAATAGCCTCCCTCGACCAGCCGGATACGCTGTGCTCAATGCACACCAGGACACAGCTGGCCCTTTTGGCTGCCAGGGCACACTTGACTTAACCCAGGCCAACAACCTAAAGGCTTACCAACAACCTAAACCAACTAGTAGAGCAATAGGTCCTTATCTGTCAAGACCAAATTACAAATCTCAGGCAGAAGAAGCATGTGGACAACCTGCACTACTGCAGAAATGAGTTTATCATACCCTCAACTATTTCACTCCAAACAAGTATTTTTATTGCAGGATTTTTATTTATTTATTTATTTGTTAATTTATTTTCCCCAATAGCTGTGCTTGGATTTTCTTTAGAAAACAGAACACCAGCAGTAGCTGCTGACGGAAAGGTTTTCAAATAAACTTTCAAAATGGTCTTCTGAGTTTTGCTTATTTATGTCAGACAATATCATTCACTGCTTGGAATGTAATTCATTTTCCAGGGTATTAGATATGGCACAGTATTAGTTTGAGAGTATTACTTGCTGTCTCTGGGTGATCTGATTAGCATTTTAATCTCTGGCTGTGAGAGATGGTTGGGACTGATGCTTTTATCTAGGCTTCTTCCTCTCCTACCCATGCCAGAAAGTGATCATTAGAGGAAGAGTCATTATCAAAAGCATGGAAAATGGGTTCTTTTGCTCAGCTGGAAAGAGGTGATATTTGGGAACTGCAGATGATATTTAGGAACTGTAAAGTATGATCTATGGCATAAACAAATTATTCTGAATTAAAATTAAATACCATTTTAATTAGCTGCATTTCTCTCAGGTAAGTTTAACTTTTTTTGTTTTAAAAAAGTACTTGATTTCAAGGATAGAAGGGGCTGGGATCTGAGCTACGGAGTTATAACATGGATCAGTTCAATTGAGGGCATGGATTTTTAAACCAAAATACTGTCACCATTCATAATATGAATGCTCTTTTACTGTTACAAAGATTTATATTGGTATAGTTCATACACTTTCCTGAAGTTGGAGTCTGTATGTATGATGTATTTATGAATGTGCATCAGTAGATAAATACCTACACACGAAGGATGTGCTGACACCACTATATAAGAAAGTTTTGGTAGACCTATACAACTTCTATGGATAACATAGCCTACACTTTGACTCCTTTATGTACACAAACAAAAGATCAACATTGGGGAAAAAAAAAAACCAACCAAAAACTAGCTCAAAAAATAGAGAAAGAGATGGGATTTTGATTTCCTTGTAATTGTTTAGTGAAAAATAATCAATATGTTAGTAAGTAGTGTAGTCTGACTTGCAATGTTTTCATTACAAATTAAATTGGTATTGGCCAGAGAAAAAAGACTGGGGCAATGCTCACAGGATTGGTACAGCAGCATGGTTGAAATGGAAAATGAGCTTCTGACCTCTTAAAAAGCAAAGAAACAAGCAAACAAAAAGTCCTCAAATATCTTGTTTTATTAATAAGCACTTGTAAGGGCAAAAAAGGGCTATTTTTGTGTGTTTTCAAGCTGTGTTCTTAAGGTAAATAATAGTTAATATTTCCCTCCCTCTTCTGTATCCCAGAACTCTTAGGGCAGCTAGTACATATGTATATGTTTGGAAATGTGAAAGGAGACTTGTTTCAATGTGGTGAGCTGTTTGGAGTTGTCACTTTGTGTCTGTACTGTTTATTTCTGCTCTACAGCCTTTAGCAGATATTCCCTATATGTTGTATGTTGTGCCCTAGGACTAAATTTTTTATTTTCATGCCTTTTTTTTTTTTTTTTTCTCGCCTTCCACTGTTCCTTGTACACCTTTAGTTTTGATCCAGGTTGCATTTATTTCAAGACAAATACAAGAAAATACATGAAGTGTTCTTTTGGCGAGAGGGAGGAGAGCAATGTTGATTGGGTAGATTAGCCTTCACGGCTATCAAACCCAGTTTCTCTAAGCTTAAAGGCCATTGATGGAATATTGACAGACTGGCCATCATTCCAGTGAAAGTAACTCATGCTACTCAATTGAGTACAGTAGTATAATTAATTTACATGTCTCTTTAATCAATCTTTCTCACAGTCTGTTCTGCAATACTTACACCATAATATCTGAGCTATGTTAGTGTTATAATTAATATCTCTTTTCAGTACACATCTGAAAGGATGCCATTATGCCCATATTACAGATGGGAAACTGAGGCCCTGATAGTTTTGGCTGTGTACTGTTTTAGACTGATGAGAAAAATTTTATGTGGTTATTTTATGTGTTAAATCTTGAGTATTTCTGTCATAAACTGGCTAGAATTTGTTGTTTTGTAAAGGGTGGCAAAATGGCAAAATAATTTTTAAAACAATGGCAGTCAAAATCAATACAAAATAGGGACTGCAAGCTTACATGCAGACGCTGCCAGAGTAGTCTAAAAGCCATATTTTGAGGCTTATGCTATTGTATATTGGAAAGGTTCTAGTACCTCAAAAGAGCAATCCAAGAAATAGTAGTCTAGAGCTACTTTTGTCAAAAATGCAAAGCACAGGGCTATAGTTAACACCTCTCTTCTCCACAGAGTTCAAAGTTTTATACAGACTCTTCAAGGTGCATAGCAGAATGCAGATTCTCCCTCCCAGATGAATATCCAAAGACAATCTCTTACCAAATATAAATGAACTCAGTGGGTCCTGTTATCTTCATTGCTGTTTCTAATACTCTGTTTGTGAAGAGATCAGAGCTGTGGATCTATATGCAACTTTTTTCTTTGGTGGAAATAAACAACTACCTTTTTTTCCTTGTTTTCAGAAAATCCATCAGCTCTGAATATTTTTCCCTGTCTTTCCAGGGTAGTCAACTGTGATTCCCATGTGAATTTTAGATACAGTTTCTAAACTGCTTTTAATCTGGGCAATAAACCCCCTTTTTAACATGGATTTTCCTTTCTAGACTTGAATATTTTATTTACTGTGCCAGTGAACTGAAAGAACCTTTTTCCTAGGCCGTCAGAACCCATTCTCAGATTTGAAAGGATAGCAGTTTTGAGTGACACCACACCCTGGTTTAGTTCCTTAATATATTTGTTTCCCCTGAAAATTCAATATTAACATTATTGTATCCATATTGTTCTCATTTTTGACAAATCCCATACACACAT